CGTTCACACTAAAAGATCGGATTTCTTCAAAAAATCGGAACTGAGCATTAAGACCTGCAGTGTGAACGTAGCCTTTGAAACTCCAGGAACCACAAGTAAACCTGCAGTCTGAGAGTGAAGGTCTCTGTTAGGAAAGTATGTAACAATGAGATGTTTAATATATGATGGAGCTTGGTTGTTAAGAGCTTTGTATGTTAGGAGTAATCTTTTAAATTCTATTCTGAATTTGACAGGGAGCCAGTGGAGAGAAGCTAAAACTGGAGAAATATGATCTCTCCTTCCAACTCTCATTAAAACTCTAGCAGCAGCATTTTGGATTAACTGAAGACTTCTTAAAGAGTTTTTTGGATGCCCAGATAATAAAGAATTACAGTAATCCAGCCTAGACGTGATAAATGCATGAATCAGTTTTTCTGCATCATTTTTGAACAAATATTTCTAATTTTAGTGATATTACACAGGTGGAAGAAGGCGGTCCTGGTAACATTTTTAACGTGGAGGTTAAAAGACATGTCCTGATCAAAAATAACACCAAGGTTCTTCACATTAGAACTGGAGGCCAGATTAATGCCATCCAGAGAAGGTGAAAGGCTGCAAAGTTGAGCCCTAAGATGTTCAGGTCCAAGAACCATAACCTCTGTCTTATCTGAGTTTAGAAGCATGAAGTTAAGAGTCATCCATGTTTTTATGTCTGTAAGACATGCTTGTAGTTTAATTAACTGACTGGATTCATCAGGTTTCATGGATAAATATAACTGAGTATCATCAGCGTAACAATGGAAATTTATCCCATGCTGATTAATAATTTTACCTAATGGAAGCATATACAAAGTAAAGAGGATTGGTCCAAGCACTGAACCCTGAGGAACTCCATGACTAATTCTGGTCTAAGAAGAAGATTCATTAGTAACATTAACAAACTGAAATATCAGTTAAATAAGACAAACCATTTTAGAGCTGTTCCTGTAATACCAATATCAAGTTCAAGTCTATGTAATAAAATATTGTGATCAATTGTATCAAATGCAGCACTGAGATCTAACAGGACAAGAATGGACACAAGCCCACTGTCTGAGGCCATGAGAATATGATTAGTAACTTTAACCAGTGCTGTTTCTGTGCTATGATGAGCTCTAAACCCTGACTGAAACTCCTCATATAAATTATTTCTATCTAGATGTTCACATAGTTGATTTGCAACTATTTTCTCAAGAATTTTTGAGCTGAATGGGAGATTAGAAATAGGTCTGTAGTTGGCCAGAACTCCTGAATCAAGATCAGGTTTCTTAAGTAAAGGTTTAATTACAACAACCTTAAAGCTCTGTGGCACATAACCATTTGTAAAAGATAAACTAAGTACATCTAAAATATGGATATTAATTAAAGGAAATGCTTCTTTGAACAGTCTGGTTGGGATAGGATCTAGCAGACATGTTGATGGTTTAGATGAAGCTATTATTTTAGATAATTCAGAGAGCTCAACAGGACAAAAACTGTCCAGGCATAAATCAGGTTCTAGTGAGCTCCCTCATCTGACAGAGAATCAGAGGCAACAGCAGGAAGGTTGTTGTGAATTTTATCTCTAATTAAAATAATTTTATCTATAAAGAATCTCATGAAGTTATCGCCACTTTTCCAGAGCCTTCTTACTGATCCAACCACTCATGCAATAGCATTGGAGAGGCTACTGACTAGCATGAGACAGGTTGGTGTTGGCTGGTTTTAGAATTAGATAGGCTGGCATTAGCAGCATGAATAGGCTGGCGTTAGCAGCATTAAAGAGACTAAAGTCTAGCACGCCTGGACTGGTCACCAACTTTATCAAACACAGAAAATACAACCAAATATTACTAAAGGACTAGGAAAATATATACATGTATATAATTTTTTTTTTTTAATTTTGAAAATAAAGTCATAATAATAGCAGAATAAATTATTAATTTTAGTAGAATTCTAGGGGTGGGAATCTTACAATCTCACAATTCAGATTTTTTGGGGCCACGATTCAATTCAAAATCAATTTTTCATTCAAAATTGATAATGTGAGCCCATTTGTCTGTTCCCAATGTGTTTCATCTTCATTTTGCAAACCATACACAGAGTGAAGCTCATGTCAAACTCAGACTCATTCAGTAAATATCAAACTGAGCCCAAATCTTTGCATTCAATGAAGACAGGACCTGTTGAATCTCTCATTCCTCCAGTTTTGCAGTTTCCTCTTTGTTTTGGTGCTTTTTTATTTTTAAAAACTGATTTTGGGACATTTAAAATTGATTTTTTTTACAGCTTAATATTAGCAGCACTGAATAAGTTACATCCTGGTGGTACGGTAAGGTACATCTTGGTGTTGGCTAATGTCAAGTAGCTGTGGCGACCATCTTGAAATTGGTTTAACTATTAAGGGTTAAATAATAAAAAAAGGTCAACACTGATGCAATGATAAAACCTTCAACATTTGACATTTCTGGTCCCTGGCAGACGACCAGGCAGGCAGCCTACTGACATGTTCACAAACACTGGTTCACAAACACCCACATGTGACAGACACATGAAACGGGCCAGTTAACCACAAATAACTGCCTCAACTTCAACGATGGAGGAGGGCTGATTCTGTGGGTAATGAAGAGCACAGAAAACTCCTTTGAAAACATCTGTAAGAAGTCAGCACAATCTTAATTCTTATTTTTCTGCACAAAGTCAAAATAATTTATTATCTTCATGCAAAGTCACCAGGATCTTCTTATTTTTCTGCACAGAGACACAACCATCTTTTTCTGCAGCATCATCACAATTTTCTTATTTGTTATTTTTTATTTATTTATAACTTTTAAAGTAAACATGTATTAATTAGCAACATATAATCAACCTTAACGAACACAACTCAGCTCTGACTCTTTCAGTTTTGCATAAATTGAGCTAAAATTTGTTCTGGGAGTCATTCACAACAAATACTTTGATCTCTACCCGACTACAAAATGACTCTTCCAGTAATGTTAGATTATGTAGACTCAGACAATCTCTCTCAAACATAAGAGACAAATAAATGATTTAATAAAACCTGTTTGCTGATGGCCATCTTAGATCAGGTTGAAGATTTCTTCAACTTTTATGGACTGAGACACGTCCCAGTTGTCTCAAGTCGCACAGTGAATGCTGGACTTAGCAACCAGCTAAACACAACATGATAACATAATAT